GGAGACACGGGCAGGCTCTATGTAGCCTAGGAACCCAAATTCCAATCCTTGACTCCGATACTGGGCTCCTGGTTTGGCTCCTGACTTAAAATTGCCAATCTTGTAAGGTAATGAGATGACTCTTTGGATAAAAAATTTGCCACACAAGTATGAGGACCAGAATTTAGATTCCTAGATCCCACTCAAATGCCAGGCAGAATTGATGGCCCACCTGTAATCGTAGCCCCTGGGAGGCAGAGATAATCTGGAGAGCGAGCTCATGTCTGTGATCTCTCGGATCAGTGAGAGATCCTACCTCAGTGAATAAAGTGAGGAGGGATTGAAAAGGAGAGCAGGCATCAAGGTCTTGTCTGACCTTCATATGCATCTGCACGCACCTGCACCCCACCCCACCATGCACACGTGCGCACGCGCACACACACACACACACACATATATACACAGGCAAGAAAATCAACAACAAAAATCATCAACCCCAGAATGAGCAACCAGAATATCTGTGCTGGGTTTGTTTCCATAGCAACACAGAAGCTGGCAGGTCTCTGGCTCATAAAACAGGTCATAAAGCAGGGAGATGGGTGGGGGTGCTGCTGGGCTTCGTGAGGGGTGCTGCCAGGTGGTGCTGGGGTCCTAGAGACTGTATTGTCTCTCTGGGAGAGAGGGCACCTGAGCTGCCCCTACCCAGGTGTTGAGCAGTCTTGGGAGAGTTCCTCTGTCTCTCTGAGCCTCAGTTTCCCTCTCCAAGAATGTGAACAGAAATAGCTCCATAGTTCTGCCCCTCAGATGTGGTGGTGCCTGAATTGGTGAGAGGGTCCAGCAGGACTTAATTCTGGAATGAGTTCTCAGGGCCTCAGTGCCCCCCATTGGTAGAGACCTGAGGAGAAGCAGCAATGCGTATAAAGATCCAGGATGGGTTGAGAGCTGGATGCAAACCCCTCTTTGTCTGTAAGGGGTGGAACCTTGAGAAAAGGGTTAGTGTCTCTGGGCCAAACTCGGCTGTGAAATGGAGACCAAAATGTCATAGGTTTTTGGTGAGAAATTAGCCCAAGTCTGTAGTACACTCAACATGGTGCTGGATCTGATGTCTGAGAGAGGTGTGTAGTCATAATAGCTATTAGCAATAGCAGCGCTTCCTCTGTGCCAAGCACTCACCTAAATGCTTCGTGCATAGCATTGATTTCACCCCTACAAGTAATTATTCCATTTGCAGATGAAGGCACGCTCAGGTCCAAAGCAGGCTTCAAAACTAGCAGCTGTGCTGCTGACAACGTCCTGAATGGCAGTCAGGGCTCAGCTCAGTCTGACCAGGTAAACAGAGCAGATTGCTAGTGGATAAACAAAACCCAAACTCAGCATTCCTCAGAAACCCGTGAATCGGGCTTCTTTTCACTGGATAAAGCCATTACTTCTCTCATCCATCCGCTGCAAGCAACTACCTCAGGCAAGGGTATCTAGTTTCCAGTGAACTCAAACAAGCCTGGAACAAACTGAAGTCCCCATGCTAGCTCCCAGACTGTTCCGTCTCACCCCCCACCTGTCCCCTCAAAGCTGACATTCCTCCCCACGTTTTTGCTGTTCTGTCTGCCCATCCCCCCCCCCACACACCAAGACAGCCCCAGCAGTGTGGGAGGCTGCGCGAGTCTGCACCAAGTCAGATAGCATCTGCATTCTTTGATAGATGTCAACCAAGTTCATACCCTAAGGCTGTCAGGAAAGCTGTCAGCCATTAATACTTGTCCCCTGGTCACCCACAGGAGGCAGATGATGGGGTGTTTAGGGACCAGACCTAAATTTCTCTCATAACGGTTCCTTCATTTGTTCATGCATTCCTTGACTTGAAGCTCATTTCCCTCAGTCTGTCCACTCTCCCTGACCCCGTCCTGAACTAAGTGGCCCAGCTGATGACACTCTTACCTGACGGTCTCATCCATCCTCCATCCAATCTATTCTCATACAATAGTCGGGAGACTTTCTTGAAAACACAAATTAGATCCATGCCACCCCTTGAACACTCTTACAGCTTCTTCTGTCATTCAGAATGAATGTAGGAATGCAAGACCAGGAGAGCTACCCAGCCCCACAGCTACACACACACACAGATATACACACATACACACACACACACACATACACACAGACACTCATACACACAGACACACATACACACATACACACACACACACCGTATGATTACCACACACATGCACAAACATGCATGGACAAGTCTAAACGCACACATTCGCATTCCCGTTGGCCTGAAGTAAAAAGCATCACGAAACTTAGGACCCATTTGATCCTGAATCTAGACCTCTCCTGGTCCAATGAGATGCCCTTGATTCAGAAGCATCTTACCTTTGGCTGAGGACCACGTGGTTTTCTCCCAGGTCCCCTTTGTACCCTTCTTTCCCCCAGAATCTATCCTACAGGAATCATGACAATGATCTGACCTGTTGATAACGCTGGAAGGATGTGGAAGGGGAGAGGACCATGAACTTGGAGTGTTTACTCCTAGTCTACTGGTGCAGGGTCTTCTTGGGCTCACCTAGTCCTCCACTGAAACCCCAGCTCTGTTGGGAGTCCTCATCTATCTGCCAAAGATGGGCTTCTCTTTCCTTTCACTGTGAACTAAGGGTCCTGATTTGTGCTTTGTGGTCTCCTGTAGTCTTGTCTTTCTTTGTGAGTAATCCCTCTACTAACCCCTAATCAAATTGCCCGACGCAGGGCCGGCAGCTCCCGCAGCGCTTTGACTACTGCTGCTTTGAGCCACAAGGTCCAGGTTTGAATTCTGATCAGGTCTCTCTCCCGGTGAAATCACAGCCCCTCACCAGGCCCCTGGATTTCTCTTGTACAGAGATTGGAGCAGAAATAACATCCAGAAGAGGACATCTTTCAACTGCAGTGCAAACCAGTGGGTTCAGGAACTCAGTCATTTTCTGTTAATTATTATGGTCCCCTCCCTGGAGCCTCATAGAGTCCCCAGCATGTATATGTCCGGAAAAAAAATTTGCTGCAATTACAATGGAATAAACGAGCAGCAAAACAGCTGTAAACAATGACCAGGGGGCTTATCCACTTCACAAAAGGGCTGTACTTCAGCTGCAGAAAGAGCTTTTGTTTGGAAGTCCTCAGCCCTGACAAAGCAGGAGGGTGTGAATGTCTATATTTATTAAAACATATTTAGCTTCGATTTCTCTTTTTCACACATCCACTGCACCCGTGAAAGGCAGCAAAGGATGATGGAAGAACAATTTGACCTAGGTTCACTCCTAGCTCTGCTGCCCACTACTTTTTGGTCCTCAATTTTCTACTCAATAAAACAGGGGTAGTGATTTCTACCTTGTCAAGATCCCAGCAAAGAAGTTTGAACCGGTACACTGAGGGTCATCCACAGGGTTGGGCACAGCCCCAGAACTGAGACTGAACCACTTGGAAGGGCACTGTGGCTGGGACATCAGTCCCCTGAGGGGCTCAGGAAGCCCTGGGCTGGTAGCCTGCACTTTCCCTCCGACTGAACAGTGACGTCAGACCAGCCGTTCCCAGCCTGTGGGTGGGCAGGCAAGTCTCAGTCTCTGGTTGTCCCAGTTTCTGCAGACAACAGGCAACTGTGCCTGAGCCACCGCATCATCCCCAGGTCTGCAGCTGCCATGGGGCATTCAGGCCTGCTGGGATTAGTAACTGGATCACAGCCCGAGAGCCAAAGCCCCAAATATAGGGCTGCCTGTGCCTACTGCGGAAGACCTTGGCACCGGCAGCTCCACCTCCTCAGATCTTATGTCCTAGACAGGGAAACTGAGGCCTCCGAAGGGAGATGGATTTTTCCACTGTTACTTGGTGGGAGAATAAAGATCAGATCTACATTTCTCACGGCAAGGGCTCATTCATTCCCTGACTTGAAGTTTATTTCCCTCAGTCTGTCCACTCTCCCTGGCCCACCCTGAACTACCTGTCCCAGCTAACGACACTCTTCCTACCTGATGGTACCACCATCCTCCATCGAACCTAGTTTCATACCACAGTGAAAGGGAGACTTTCTTAAAATGCAAATTAGATCATGTCACCTCTTGAATACTCTTACAGCCTCTGTGTCACCTGTAAAATTACATGGCCAAGAGCCATCCAGTACCACAGACCCTTGTTTTTACATTGTGCTACACATACACACATATACATGATCATGTGTTCACATGTGCACACATTTGCATGTGATCACCACACACAAGTATGCACATGCATGGACACATATGTCTATGTATACATATTCACATACATGCACACACAGCATACATGTAATCATGCACATCCATACAAGCTCACAAAAATAGGCATACACATGCACACATTCATGGATACACATACATGCAGGCAGTCATTCGCATATATGTACATAGACACACACACATACAAACATCAATAATATGCTTATGAACACATACATAGGCATAGATATGTTCCCTTGCATGGATAATATATAGTTTGGGGGCACACATGAATGAACACACACTCACATGCACACAACTAAGAACACACATAGATGCATACATATACATACACATAGTAAGAACCTCATTATGTTGGCCTCTTTGCTGTCTCTGGGCCTATGTGTAGAGATACACATATGAATATGCCACCCTGTGTGTGTGAGCTCACGTGCATGTATGCAGAATGTGTGCATGTGCCCCTATTTTCATGTGTTTCTGTGTATATGAGCATATGTGTGTGCTGTGTGTGTGCACATATAAATGAACATATGTGCATTTTTTGTGTGCAAGTGCACGCATATGCACAGGCACCTACTTCCCTCCTGTCTCCGACTCTCGCATCTTTAACCTATACTGGCTCCATTTGTGCCCAGTTTGCCCTGCTACTAACTGACCCGTTTGTTTTCATGAGAACTAATTCATACTCGGGTATGATAACAAGTTGCTTCTTTTCAAAAGCAATTTTTATTTTTAAACTTCAAAGGCTAAAACAAAACAAACAGACTATCTGACGGTGGCGTCTGTGTTCCTAGTAAGGTTGAGGACTATCTTGAGCCGCTGAAACTGCCCTCAATACACAGCTATTACTCTGTCTTGGTACGAGCTAAGAGCCCACCCCTGAGTGAGACAGTCTACGTGGCTTTTCGGATTGTGCCCATCCTTGTCACCTCATTCCCCTCCCCCATTCACCACTTTTCCCAAGATAAATCAGCCAGGTCAGCCACCACATTTTGATGAAAAAGAAACAAGTTAGTCTTTTGACTGGACAAAGTCCGCCTTTCCAGGGGCCGAGGACCGGGGCAGTCAGGAGCATGTGGAATCGGTGCTGCAGGGGCCAAGACAAGGCTCGTTTTGTGTTCTGGGACAAAGATAAAGTGTCCTGGCAAGATGGGGCCAGGGCCTTTCCAGCGCCAGCTCTGGCAGACGGGATTGGCTGGCTGTGAGACAACTCACCCCGTGTGACTGGATGGCCCAGCTTCCCACCACCTCCTCCCCTCTCGTAAGCAAACAATCGAGAGCGGTGAGACAGTCATGAAAGTAAGCTCTTCACCCTTCCTGGCCACCTGGCATGCCTGGACATGGGCATCCTCAGATCCTGCCGACTGGGACTTGCCAGGTCAGGAGCCTTAATTCGCTTCTTTCCTTGCCTTGGGAGAGGCAAAGCCGGTCTCGGCTCTAGGTCAGGTGACTTTGGACTGATTGAGCCTCCGGCTACCTTTGGAAAGCGCATAGCTGCAGGACAATTTCGGCTGTACAGATTCGGTGACGTGCTGCAGTCTAATAACAGCGAGACACAGGCTGGATGCGGAGAGGGTTCTCGGGCTTCAGGACGCCGCTTTGCATCTGGTGTCTCATCTGATTTTCAATGTCACCCCTGCGCAGGAAGCAGGGTGCTCATTCCCGCTGAGTTAGAAACTGACGCTCTAGGGAGGAAAGACACCGGCCAGGTGATGGTACAAGTTAACAATTGGGCAAGGTGGCAAGAAAATCTCTGTCATGTTTGAGAATTAGCATTTTGGCCATACCCCTGGCCCTGTGTACCGCTATGCTGTCTGCAGAGAATGTCCCTCCCCCACCCCAGCTAAGGGGCTTGGCCTTTTCTGACAACCTAACCCAGAGCAGGAAGAAATTCACTTTTCACTGGGAAAACTTACATGCTATTTTTATTTATTTTTTCTATGTGGAAGTTTTTTTTTTTTTTTTGAGTTTTGAGTCAGGGTTACCCTGTGTAGCCCTGACTGTCCTGGAACTCACTCTGTAGACCAGGCTGGCCTCAGATTCAAGAGGTCCACCTGCCTCTGCCTCCTGAGTGCTGGGATTAAAGGTGTGTGCCACCGCTGCCCTATGTGGAAGATTTGCAAGTGGGCGTGCTTGATTATATGGCTTAGTGACTGGACAGCTCTTGTTGACACCTACTCTCCTGGTTGTCAGACACAGAGGAGCAAGACAGAAGCGGTCCTGGCCTCTGGGAGCTGATATTCGGCCCAAAGCTCTGGGTTCTAGTTGTACAGCAGAATCATTTTCGGGGTAATGTTGACTTTTTGGATAGCTATGTCTTGTGCTAGGGCCACGAGACTTTAAGCAGAGTGATTCTAGGAGCAGCCTTTGCTGAGAACTGCAGTATGAAGAAGGATAGAAATGAATGACTGCCTAGAAATGAAAATTGGCCTAGGGAAGAGAATCCATTAAAAGAAATAGGGTTGCAGCAACATAGTTCAGCCCGTGGGGCCACTGGTGAGGAGCCTACAGCAGGAGGGACCCACAGAAGCTCCTGAATACACCATGGGAAATTAGGGGGCATGGGCCCAGGGCATGGGGAGAGCAAGGGCCAAAGCAGGGAAAGAGTGGGCTGGAGTGTGCCTACTAGTAAGGCAATTTGTTGCTGGAAAGTCGCAGGTGGACCAGAAGGCCCAGAGGGGTCTATAGTTCCCAAAGGCCAGAAGGAGCTCACACTGCCCCAAGGTCCATTCTATCTTTACGCTGTAACCCAGATGGTAAGGAAGGCCTAGGCTGGTGTATTCAAGGGCTGATCCCCAGTTCTCCTCCTACCCACCCTGCTCCCAAACCCGCCCCAGCTCACAGAAGCCTGGGGAAGGGAATAATGAACAGGGAGAGAAGAAGGGAAGTCAGAGGCTTTAGAAAGTCTGTCGCTGCTATACAGATGGGTGTAGCTGCCTGGGTCTTTGAGAGGGTCAGAACTAGGGAGTGCTCTGGCCTCACAACCATGGCATCCAGGGTCACACACCGTGGTGAATAGCCAGTAAGGAAGCCATGAGCTCTGAGCTTGGCTTGGATTCTACAGCACCTTGCTCAACACATATCCAGAGTCATCCACGCTAAAGGGTACCTTAGAGTAACGTTTCAGAGAGTTGAGATAGACTTGTGTTCCGATAGCACAGACCTTGTTCTTTTTTTATTAGGAGTCTAAATGTTGTGTTCTCTGTGTTAAGAGTCTGCGCTCAGATGCTGGGTCATGCTATCTGTTAGAAGGTGGGTTGCCTTGGAGCTTTAGACGGGAATGTTGGTAAGAATTGTGTTTTAAAATGTTGAATTAAAACACGAATCTGTGTTCGCACATTCTGTTTGTAATAGGATTTTAGGGCATTATGCTAAAATATGTTATTGCATTGGAACGTAGTGTCAGTGTGTTTTGTTAGGATGGTGTGTGTAAACTTAAATCAAGAGGAAGCTCATGGAACTGTGGGAGTTTGGGAAGAACGACGCCTAGCCTGAATGTCAGAGAAAAGATCTGGGCTGAGTCTTGACAAAGGCTCCTCTGAACTTTGCCTTTGTGGACTAGGTGTCCCTGCTATTCCAGCAGGGCTTGCTAGCCAGCGTCGCCTGTAAGTCCTCTTTCCTTCTGTGGATCAGGCTCTGAGCATAGGACTCTCACTCTTTGTCTCCTGAGAAGGGGAGAGGGAGGCTCTTTACCACGGAGATGGATCTTACCTGGGAACAATGGACTTTCTGGGAGTAAATAGCTTCTTCACTGACAGAAAAAGGATGAGGATCCACGGACCAGGCGGAGAGAACTGCAGACCTCATGGGTGAGAGCCTGGGGGGCTGGAAGCCCGCTGCTCACGCTTGGTCTTGTCAGGATCCAAGCTCTCTCCCAACAGCCTTTGCAGCCTCCACTGCTGACTGTGCTGCTGCTGAGCAATAGGAGGCGATGCTGAACTCTGACCACCTAGGACCACACCCCAGGGCCCAGGGAGGTCCTATAACTCTTGAGTTCTCCATTCCTGTGCGGGTCAGGCTCATCCAGAACAGGCTTTGAGCAAGTGCTTTGAGCAAAAATATCCTGGGCTTCCCCACACCAACTCACGCTGCTTCTCACTCACTGGAAACCAAAGCAAGCCATGCCAAGGCAGCCTGGGAATCCACACACTCCCAGAGGCTCTGATGACCAGGCACCTCAGGTTTGCAGATTTCTAACAGCGCAAGCAATCCCAAGACAACGAGGGAGCTAAAAGCACAGTCCAGTTAATGTCCATGAGATCTTGTCTTGATCAGTTTTGTAGTTATAATAGAATACTTGAGACAATTTGCATACCTAACTAATTTACACTAGGGTTCTAAAAGTGGGGGAAGGGCAGCATGTGAAACAAAACTCTACTAGGCTTTTTTGGGGGTGCTTGATGTTTCAACCATGGAGAAGAAATGGAGGAAAGGGGGTGTATTGGTTAGTTTTATGTCATCTTGACACAAGCTAGGGTCATCTGAGACAGGCAACCTCAACAGAGAAAACACCTCTGAAAGATCAGACTATAGGCAAGTCTGACGGACATTTTCCTAATTAGTGTTTGATGGGGGAGAGCCCAGCCCGTTGTGTGTGGTCCCATCTCTGAACAGGTGGCTCCGGGTTCCATAAGAAAGCAGGTCAAGCAAGCCATGGGGACCAAGGCAGCCAGTAGCAGTACTTCATGGCCTCTGCATCAGCTCCTGCCTCCAGGTTCCTGCCCTGTTGACTTCTTGTTCTGACTTCCCATAAATGGACTGTTACTCTTTCAGCCCCTGGATGGATTTGTAAGCTGGTAAACCCTTTCCTCCCCAGGTTGCTTTGGTCATGGTGTTTCTACCTAGCAATAGTCACCCTAACTAAGACAGGGGATTTATGCTCAGAAGAGACAGAGCAAAGGAGCCACTCTTTTTGTAAGGATGCTCTAACAGAAACTAGCAGGGCCCAAACACCTCTTAGAGGCTCCATCCCATCTCAGCATGTCACAGTAGAGAGGGACTCACCCATTAACCTGAACTTTGGTACAAACAGACCGTAGCAGTGTTCTTGCGCAAGCCACTTCCTGGCAGGCTCGGCACCTTTCACTGCATAATGATGTGATGTCTGTGGCCTCGCTGAACTAGAGACACACCGGCACAATGTTTGGCTCAGTTCCTATCAACTGACAAGGACCCTGAGCCCTAGAGAGCTTAAAGCTGTCCAGGCGTGGGTAGCTCCGTGCTCTTCTATGTGTTCTAGTCCTGGAGAATGAGATTCATGCTTCGTGGTCATCCTACAATGGAAGGAAAAGTCTAAGGAGAAAGGAGCAGAATTGGGGCAGTTTTTCTGTGGGAACTGGGACCAGAAAGCATCAGGTTTTGTAAATCAACTATCCCGATACTTTTTCCTTAAATCTTATTTTTGAGATTATAATATAACTACAACATTTCTCTCTTCCCTTTTGCCCCTCCAAACCATCCCAATATACCCCTCCTTGCTCTACTTCAATATATACACTCTTATTTTGTATATACATATATGTCCCTATATATAACCTGTTGAGTCCATATGATGTACTTGTATGTATGTTTGCAGGGCTGACCATTTGGTACCAGATAACCTCTCTCAGCTTTCCTCAGTTGCCTTTAGTTCTTGTGTCTGTTTGAGCCCTCGTGGGCTTTTCTCCATCCAGTGTGGCATGTCCATTGGTATCATCCTTGCTGGGTACACATTTGGGCAGGCATGTTGGTGAGACTTCATGGGTGTATCTTCTGATATTACTAGAAGACACAGTTTCATAGCAAACTCTATGATCCTCTATCTTTTAGTCTTTCTGCTCCTCTCCTGCAGTTTCCCTGGGTCTTAGGTGCAAGAGTATTTTGTAGATGTAGCCACTGGAACTGGGCTCCATAATTACGCATTTTGATTGGTTGTGGATTTCTGTTGTCTTCTCCATCCATTACAAAGAGACTTACTTGTTGAGGGGTCAAGCCTACATTTATCTGTGGGTATAAGGACAAATATTTATAGATTGTTGTTAGGGGTACTACTTCTGAGGGCAGATGAGGACTTCAAAGTCAGGAGGCTGGGCTTGGCTCTAGACCCAAGTAGCTTCATTGGCTGGTGTCTTACCTAGGTTTTTATCACTGTGATAAAGCCCTATAGCCAAAAGTAGCTTGGGGAGGAAGATTTACTTCACCTGACAGCTTCTAGTCATTCATGAGGGGAAGTCAGGGCAGGAACTTGGAGGCCAAGACCAGTGGAACACAGCTTCTGGCTCACTTTCACTGGCTTGCTCAATTTTTTTTCTAAACCCCAGGAACACCTGCCCAGGAACTGTATGGCCTACAGTGGGCCAGGTCTTTTTACATCAATCACCAATCAAGAAACTGCCCCAC